GACAGCAACTTGTCTGTTCCCCTTCCCCCAATTCCCCAGCTCTGTTCCCATCCCCCCATTCTCCAATAAAAATCTTAAAAAAAAAATTATGTAGACTTAATAAATAATTGGACAAAAACTGAAGGTGTGATGTTTGAGTGGCTAAAGTTTGACTGAAAGAGCTCATTTGTGTTTTTTCACAGCACAGCCTGTGGCTATGGGACACACTGTAGGGATGCCCAGGGGACCCCCCCTCTTGCACCAGGGACCCACCCTGCCCCAGTCCCTATCACCACAGGGTTCAGGCCCCAGAGCAAGCTCACCTTGAATGTGAACTTGGAGGCACTCATCACTTCTATGATGTTGAAGGCAGCCCAGCTGATGTCGTATCCCAACATCTGTAACTGTTGAGAAGAGACAGGAAGTGAGTCACTCACTAGATAAAGTTTAAGCCCTAACATCCAGCATCCTGTCCCAGCTAACAAAGGACACATGTCATTCTCAGTCTGAATATGCAGGCTTCACCCGACACACACTACTGGGCATTTCATGTCTTCTGACCAGTTAGTTTTCACATTGAAGACTATGAGAACAGGTTAGCAACAAATACTACAGAAGGATGAACGTCTCAGCTGAAATCCTAGTGGCCCATGTCTGGTTAAAAGTCCCTACAATGATACTCAAAACCTACAATGTGATGGGACGCCCAACCCCCAAACCCAAGTCTCCCTTCTCTGACCACAAAAAGAGGCCAGGAGGAGGAGCCTGGCGTGGCTCAGGCTCACACTCCAACCAGGGACTACAGCCAGACAGGGAAGCCTGCAGAGAACCCACCCACGGCAGTTCAGAGCTCCACCCAATAGGCTTCCCAGCACAGTCCACAGTGGGGCTGAGGGCACTTCTCCTGGCCTTCATGTGGTAAGGGCTCCACCATGCCCAGTGACACCTGGTAATCACGGCATGTCTCTCTCGATATATATATTTTTTTTAAATTGGGGAATTGGGGGTCCTGCCGAGTGACTCATTGGTTAAGAGTTGGCTTGGGAGCGTGAACTCTGAGCAGCAGGGCTACCGGTTTGGACCCCATATGAGGGCCAGTAACGCTGCACCCTCTATTGCTAAGTAGGTGAACATCAGCTCGACTTGGAGCTGGGCTGCCGTGAGGCGACAGCGTAGGCTTCAGTGGGGTTGCAGTGGGCTGCCGTAAGCTACCGTGAGTGGCCGGCAGCCAGTGTGAACAGCCGGCAGCTGGCGTGAGCTGCCATAAGCCGCCGTCCAAGGGCCGGCAACTGATCTGCCTCATTCGGGAAGAGCACAATGAAAATACCAACATGGGCCAGTGAAGCAACGTCTTCCACAACTAGACTGAAGAACGAAAGGACAGCAACTTGTCTGTTCCCCTTCCCCGATTCCCCAATGTTGTTCTCACCCCCAATTCCCCAATAAAATCTTTAATAAATAAATAAATTGTGGAATTGTGGGAGGGGACCAGCCAAGTTTTTGTTCTTCAGTCTTAGTTGTGAAGGGTGCCAGTAGCCATCTGGCTGCCTGTCAGCAGATCGTGGCCTCTAAGCTCAAGGTGCTGTGTTCAATCTTAGTTGCAGGTGGGCGCAGCCACCATCCCATGCGGGAAATCGAACCAGCAGCCTTGTTGTTAAAGAGCACACACTCTATCCACTGAGCCATCCAGGTGGCAGCTCAGCTCAAGGTGCCGAGTTCAGTCTTAGTTGCGGGCGGGCATAGCCCACCATCAAACAGGCAGTCTTGTTGTTAGGAGCACGTGCTCTCACCAGCTAAGCCATTCTGCCACCTGCTGGCAGCTCAACAGCAGCTCAGCTCGGAAGAGTCACTGGCCCAAGTGGGAATCGAACCTGCGGCCCTGTTCCTCAGAGCTTGCACTCTTAAATTAACTCTTAACCAACACAGCCACTCAGCCAGCCCTCTCTCAATTCTTAAGAATTAGCCCTATGTGCCTCAAGGCCAGCTCCTAGAGCTGACAGCATTAATCAGTTTTTGGCAGGTGGACAAATGGACCAATGGATGGATGGACAAATCGATGGACCAATGGGTGTAGGGACGGAGGGGTGTTGGAGCTGACGAAGGCCTGACAACATGAGACGTGCAGGACATGGGCATGGCTCGGAAGCACCACCTTGGGAGCAAATAGCCCTGTGACACTTACATACGTCAGCTTGCAGACCGCATTCGCCTTTACTGCGATGTTGTCTTGCTTTAGTTCTTGCTTGATTTCATCAATACACTGAGAGATATACTTTGCCTAAAAGGAAAAGAAGTTGAGATATTATGAGTGCCTAGAGAAAACAGTAAATAATTATTTCAGAAAGAAGCCAAACCCAAAACAAAAAGCCATATAACATTTGATTTCATTTATCTGAAATGTCCAGAACAGGTAAATCCAGAGACAGGAAGTGGATTTGTGGCTGTTAGGCGCTGGGGAGAGGGTGGCAGGTGTGTGTGTGTGTAGGGGGTGTGACTACTAATGGGGAGGGGGTTGCTTTTTGAAGTGACAGAAGGTTCCAAAATGGATTGTGGTGACTGAATACACTAAAAACCACAGAATTGCACATCTAATACAGCTGTTATTAAAGAAACAATTTCAATGCAATAAGATCTCTGTGATTCCTTCACAATCCTCCTGATGGCAGTAAGGGCCATAGGAGTGGGGAGAGAACAAGAGTGGTGGGTGAAGGGAGAGGAAGGGGGGCCAGTCCCCTGTGGCCACCCGGGAACAGCATCAAGGCACACAACGCACAGGCAGGCCAGATCATGTTGGTGCTGGGGGCTGCGACCAGTGTGGGGGCATAAATGAGGAGCCAGGCTGGAGGAAGACCGGCTGCATGCAGTCCCTCTTGCCCTTGAGGCCCCACGCATCCAACTGCTCCCAGGGCTCCAGCTATCTCCAACTGGCTGTGTACACTGGGCCCACCACCCAACGGGCGAGCTCCTCAGAACCTGCCACCCGCTGGCTCCCCGGTCCCCTTTCTCAGAGCCTGTCACCCGGGCAGCCTCTCCCACAGCAGCAGTAAGCTTAATTAGGTGTCTCTATCTGTGGCTCCCTACCCCTTTCTGGGCAGCATCAGCGCTTGGCTCTTGTCCCACTGTGTGCACACGGACCACACTGTCTACCCACTCCCCTGTGGACACGTGGAGCTTTCCTGCTTTTCGGCTCTTGTGACTCATGCTGCTGTGAACATCTGTGTACAGGTGTTTGTGTGAACAAATGTTCTCGATTTCCTTGCCGAGTCAGCACTTCTCCTCAAATACCATTCAAAGAGGTTTGACCTGAAGCAGTACTGATCCACAAGGTCCAGAGGGACTGATGAGCCCCCTCTGGCAGGAGCAGGGTGCAAGGCTCCTGTCACCTCCTGGGGGGACACACCATGGCAGCGGCAAAGAGAACTGAAACCTGCCACAAAGCAAGCAGCAGTCACCTTGGGGTGCAGAACAAGTCCATCCAGTGCTCCATGGAAGCACAAGGAAGCCCCTCAGTTATGTGACCAACAGCCGTCCAGCTGGTGGCAGGCTTCCATATTCCCCATATTGCCCCCCAGCGCCATCCAGACAACCTGCCTCCCAGAGACCAGGGTGGCAAGCGTGCAAAGCAAGTGCAAACAGCGGGCTCCTGTGTTGCCTGACAGCCGAATTCTATAAACACATCCCCCTGCATTTAGCCTCTAATCCCATTAGCTATGAGAGAAAAGCCTCGGTATGACCGGAGGGCAGTAATCTCTCTGAGGGAGTGCCTCGGTATGACCGGAGGCCAATAAGACTCCCTCTGAGGAGTGTCTCAAGGTATATTGGGACCTGTTGGAATGCTAACAGTTAATCTCCTCTGGGAGGACACAGTAACAAGGTGTCCTGGGGCTATGTGGTGGATATGTGAAGGCATAGCATATGCTGGATCTCCTCTGGGAGGACACAGTAACAAGGTGTCCTGGGGCTATGTGGTGGATATGTGAAGGCATAGCATATGCTAGAACATAATGGGTATGTTAATAGAAAAGGCTTTGAGGCACAGACCTCAAACGATGCTAATCTGATCAACAGCAGTTTTACTTCTCAATAAAAACCAAGCGTCAACCCGATTTGGTGGCTCAGTCTGACTGTCTGAAGGCTGAGTCCCTTGGTCTCGCACTTAAATATTACTTCTGTCTCTGTCTCTTTATTCAATCTGCGTCGCCCCTCTCGTGTCCCATTTGCCCTTGCCACGCAGGACGTGACACTCCTGCTCCATGCGCTCCGCATGCTGCCTCACGTGCTCTAGCTCTATGAGGGTAGCTCCAGCGGCTTCCGCCATCATGTCACTTGGACCACCCCAAGACCCTTGGAAAAGAGCTGCTCAAGCGCTCTTGGCCACAGAATGTTTTATGAATATATATTTTTTTATTGTTAGTTTCAGGTGTACAGAACAATGCAATAGTTACCCTTTTCACCCTCACAAAGTAACAACCTTATGAATATTTTATGGTCAAGAGTTGGTAAAATGGAAAAAGTGTCACCATATCCTTCCAACCGGCTTTAGATTACTAAATCCCGTTCAGGGGATCTCAGCTCCTGTCCCTGCGCACGAATGACCCTTCCTGCCTCCTGGATCAAGACTGTTAATGATTTAAAAGGGAAAAAACAAGAAGACAATAATAAGTGTTGGAGAAATGGCCCCATACACAGCAGGTGGGGGATGAACAGTGCAGCCTCTATGGAGGACAGCTGCAGCTCCTCAAAAGGGTGACACAGCTCTTACTGTCAGGTGGGCCCCCAAGAACACTGACAACAGGTAACAGGTGCCGAAACACACACTGGCACCCAAATGTACAATTAGTGACAGTCCCAAAGTAGAAACAAATGTTCCCTGGCCGATGATGGACAAACACAATGTGGTCCACCTGCCTGTGTCAGCTTTCAGGAGGGCGGGACAGGGTCCACTTCCTGGAACATCTGAGCAGCTCCTATCAGACCAAGTCCCCCATAAGTGCTGTTTAACAACTCTCTGGAGTCACTGGAGACAAACAAAAGTACTGGGGAGTGTCATGTTTCTCGTGGCTTTTATCTTGCGCGCTATGCAGAGCAGCTGAGACCGAGAGGAGACTCACGTCCAAATGGCTTCAAGAACCAGAGCAGAGCTTGCGGTGAACACGGCTACTGGAAAGTGAAGAGGGAAATCCCAGAGACGAGAGAGATGGGGGGTTCTGACATTCTATATATAAACTCAGCCCAAATCTCTGGCCAACCGAGAACTATGCATGCATAGGCACATTCCACCCAGCCCAGCTAAAGCTAAAAAAATAAATGTATCTCACAGGCCTCGTGTCCCCTGCAAGAGGGCACAGCCTACCCAGAGTTAACAGCCCACCAAGCCCTCTCCTCAGAGAATCAACACCCCGCCAGAGAACACAACAGAATCCAGAGTCTCCAAAAATGTCCCATCTACAGTTTCCAGGACATACCCAAAAATACTCAAAATGAGAAACAGGAAAACATAACCTACACTCAAGAAGAAAAAGACAGCCAATGAGGACCAGCCCTGAGAGAACCCAGATGTGGGAATTAACATACAAAGATGTCAATTTAGCAACTGGAACCATGTTCTCCTGGAACAAAAAGAAACCATGCTCATAATGAATAAAAGAAGAGGAAATCTCAGCAGAGAAAGTGACAGAAAACAATCAAATAAACCCTAGAACTGAAAGGTAATTTCCTGAACAAAACATTCATCTAATAGACTAGACAGCAAATTGGAGATGAAAAGAGGAGTCAGCAAATTTAAAGGTGGAACCACTGAAATCATCCCATCTGAAGGAGACAAAAGTTTGAAAAGATGACCAGAGCCTCAGGGACTGTGGGACGATGACAAAAGTTGTAACATACGTATAATTGGGATCCTAGGGAAGGAAAGAATGGGACAGAAAAAATATTTGAAAAAATAATGGCTGAAACTTTCCCAAATTTGGTGAAAGACCTAAATGTACAGGTTCAAGAAGCTCAGCATCCCCAACAGGAAACAGCAAATCTCACCCAGACAGATCATGGTCAAACTGCTGAAAATTGAAAATAAAGAGAAAATCTTCAAAGCAGCCAGAGGAAAAAGACATGTTGCATACAGAAGAGCAAGGATTCGAACAGCTGCCAGCTTATTGTCAGAAACACTGGCAAGCACGAGACGCTGAACAACACTGCCGGCCCACAATTGTCCACCCAAGAACATATCCCTAAGGAGTAAAGGCAGAACAAGAGCCTGATGACACCCATCCCTGCCCATCACAGAGGGGAGGACAAACGAGACCCACAGAGAGTAGCTGACTTTCAAAAAGACCCTGCCTGAACCTTAGTTTTAGGTATAAAATAGATGCGCAAGCTCGCGGTTCCTCCACACTGGAAAGGGAGAGAAGGGTTATAAAATATAGAAAAGTATCTGCTTTATACTCACTTGGGAGTGCTAAACAGTGATCTAAAACATAGTTATGTGAAGTTAAAGTGAGGAATGTGGGAAGGGAGATTATATTAATCTTTTATTTCCATATAACACTGTGAACAGAAAGAATATTTACTTCTCCTTTTACAAGAAAATGGTCAGATTGGGCCGGCCGAGTGGCGCAATGGTTAAGAACTGGCTTGGGACAGACACCAGAGGGCCCCGGTTCGGATCCCACATATGAGGGCCAGTGACACTGCCCTCCACAGCTAAGATGCTGAACAACGGCTCAACCTGGAGCTGGGCTGCCTTGAGTCGCGACGGTGTAGGCTGCAGCCCCTGTGGCAGTGGGTTGCCATGGGCTACTGTGTATAGCCAGCAGCCATGCGTGAGCGGCGTCCAGAAGCCGGCGACGGATCTGCCTCCCCCGGGAAAAGCGCAATGATGGTGCCAACTTGGGCCAGTGAAGCAACGTCCTCCACAACTAGACTGAAGAACAAAACGACAGCAACTTGTCTGTTCCCCTTCCCCCAATTCCCCAATAAAAATCTTTAAAAAAAAGAAATGGTCCGATTATGCAGACATGATCTAGGTCCAGAAAATTATGTTATGAACACAAATTAGAAACATTTTAAGGTACAAAGTATGAATGGCTACATGTCACTGACATACTTTTTAGAAGGAGAAGCTAGAGGTGCAGCGTGACGAAGGTCCTCTGACACCACAGCCTGTCCCAGGCCCATTCACAGTTCGCCACAGGGCAAAGCTGTCTGCAACACAGATGACCATTTTTAGCATGATGTTCATTGCCAGGGAATTCCATTTGGAAAAGAAGCTACAAGCACACT